ATCAAGCTAATATCTTTTTTTACAGCGTCGGGTGAAGCTTGGCATGCAGCTGCATGCTGCAATAATAAGGCAGAGGCCTTCCTGTGATAGAGGTTTTCCTGCTGTGAGGCTAGTCCTTCTAGGTTTCTACAGATTCATTCAGGAGCATCCAGTTGTCCTGGTCTTATCCATTCCATTTAAACTTGACCAACAAACTCTCGGCTTCATGGCTGCATATTTAACATAAAGGTTCAGGGGGGATCTTTGTGGGCTTGCTATCTTCTACTACAGCAGGATGCAAAAGGTTGATCACTCTGGACGATTCCTCTGTTGAATTAAACTTCTCTTTTCCACTACTGCCACATTCATGCTTAGTATTAGGGATTGCTGCAACGTCAACATCCCCAAAATAGCAACTGTTCACAGTTTTTAAACTCTCATCACTGAGTTCTGCAAGTCGATGACTTAATGCAATATGCAGGATAGAAAACATTTTAACCAACTTGTCATAGTATTTAAATAAATTGACTCTGGGAAGTGCCTTAATGGTTCATCACATGCTCATATGAATAGGGGCCCACATCCACACAGTGGTGTAGTCTACCAACAAATGTAGAAAACCTTTAACCATTCTGACTACTATAGATGATCTGGTTGAATTATCTCTGTAAAGTCCCTTGAGATGACATTTGTAGTGAACTGGCACTATATAAATAAACTGAATGGAAATGAAATGTCTTTCTCTGTTAAATTGGTGGGCTAGCCTTTGCCTGGGAGTGCATACACTTATGTATTGTATCCTCGCGACATAAGGAACTTTAGTTAGTTTAGGACTTTCCTCATTGACACCTATGAAAACCTAAGTAGCTATAATTTGCCATCAGAGTGTTTGTCTTATCTCTGACCCTTTCACTGAGCTGTGAACCCTGTCAATTGACAATTTAGTTTAGTGCATTATATATATTATATTAAGAGGTGGGCATAGATAATTTTTTAAAATAAGATTGTAAGCACGAATAATCAACACAACTTACAAGTCTGCAATTAATGCCATGCTTTTGTGCTGCATACACATCTTGTCACATTGCCTGCATGATTCTTGGCGCCGCTTTGCTATGACAACTGCATCCATGATGGTGTGATACTCATTTATAATGAAAAACCACCTGTTCCAAATTTATTCGAGCAGATCTGTTGTAAATCCAAACAAAGTATCACTATGGATGCCATCTCTGGCCACGCATGAAGCTAGACATTTGCAGCTCAGATCCAGAATTTATGAGGTGGAAACTTCACAACAGATTTCATTGGCAGGTCATGAATGAATACTACCTTGGCTGAGGCCCTTCTTCCTTTCCTTTATCTACATGTTTGATCCACATAGACAACCGCATTCATGCTCTTCTGAGTCGAAGGGTGTTCAAATGTAAATCATTTGGAGATAATACTGACAAGCAACAGTCAAGGGCAATCTTCCTCTAGTTTAAAAAATAAATTGTCTTTATTTTTTACATCAATAAAAAAAAACTTTAATTAGATTTTGACTCACACTGTGCAACATATAATCATTATTTTCATTAAAGATTACATGATAGCACCTTAAGCCAGGGGTCGTCAATGTTTTCCAGGCCAAGGACCCCCAAACTGATGTCCAGATGGAGCGGGGACCCCCTAATTATATATATGTGGTGTGAATTGTGACTATAGGAAATGGTCCTATAGTCACTCTATTACATATGGAGTAATGTAACAAATGTAACAAATGTACATTTTGCGCTGGGATTAATCTTTTCTAAAGTGCTCTTGATGGAAGAGGATGCTTTTTTCTCTGTCTCCGGCTTTCTAGTCTGTGTGCCCTGCCTCAGCTGTGTCCTGTTTTCTTTTGGTGCCTCTTTTTTGAATAAATTCAAAAGTGTGAATTATAGATATGGTCAGCTGGTCTCTCAATGCAATTGATCCATTTTCTTTTTTTACACAATAAGGCGGAACCCTCCTGTTCAGACGGGATGTATTTCTCCAGATACATAATGGATTCCTGGCAGAAAGAGGAGATATACCCCTGACCATGATTTCAGTAGAGGACGTAGAAAATGTGTAAATAACTAACTAAATAAATGTGTTTTTTATGAGTATTTCAGCTGTATAGAGTTGGCGGATGCCTGGTAAAATTCTGAAGATGTTGGTGGCTGTTCTGGCCATTGTGAAGCTGCCTGGCATGTATGAGGGAATCTGCAGAGCTATCAGAACTCAGACTCAGATGTTAAGGGAACAGAATCCTAAACTGCATGTGATCCTTCTACAGGATCACAGGCTGACTGCGGTTACCGGACTCAGAGTTAAAATGGTACAATCCAGAAGAATGTTGTGAGCTCAGATCTGGTGGAATGTCCAAGTATTTGTCTTACTTGTAATCGCCATTGTGAGACACCAGCAAAAAACTCTCAGGCTGGTAGAAAAATCAGGAGTTAGCCTAATACAAACAAGTTGTTTCTATTTGATATCTGGCTCCCAGTGTATGGCCTTCGTCATATCTACTCAACTCCCCTGGATGCTGCCTAAATATGACGCCCCTCTCCCTCCCTTCCCTAAATACATCTATGAACTTGCTCCATGTGCAGCTGGTTGATGAACATTATATTAAATCCCACTGTGAATTCTTTCCAGATGCTCTGTACAAATAATATAAGATATTATTTGTTTCCTAGATGAAGGAAATAATATATATTTATTTCTCATATAACGATGTTGCAAGGTCATAATACCATAACTATAATAATAATGATTTAACCTCATAATTATTAGCCTCTCCCACCTGCTTTAGAACAATGTGTTGAAATAATTTTCTATGTACATTTATGTAGAAAGTCTGTACTTTATAATTTAAAGACAATGGCCCTTGGAACAGTGCTTCATGGTCTTACTTTTCACTCACACAAAGCATACGAACAAGCATACTGGGATATAAACACATTTATGCATCACACCAATCTCCACCATTCCCCCTGCGAAATGTGTTGTATCTGTGTTGCTTCTTTGTGCTGAGTTTTTTTTTTTGCAATCTCCGTTTGTATCCTGCTAAAGATAACGTGTAAAATATGATTTTCTGTCTTTGCTCACCCATTCTTATTCTTTTGTCTTTTTTTTTCCTTAACTGCAAGGGCAGTGCGTTTGATGGCTGCAAGACCTTGGATACCTCCCCTCCATGTATAATGTCTTTGTTTTGTCTTTTCTTTGATGGGCTGTACTACAACATAAATTTGAGCCTTCAGAAGTGCTTCTCCAGGCTGAATGATGAATAAAGAAACTTTATAATTAGACATAAACAACTGCTTTTTTCATTTTGTATACACAGTGTATACAAAACCAAATTCTTTTTGTAAACCTTTAAGACAGTAAATGAGCAGCATCTTAGCAGTCAAATGAACAATTCCATTCCATAAAGTGCAGCAGTGATCAAATGTAAACTCTGTGGGAGAAAAAAACATGCTGCAAAATGCATTGATATGGAAGTTCAGAGCATTTTAAGACAAATATATATGGTGCAAATGCAGTATTTTGGTTTGGTAAATCTTTGAATGTAATCCCGCCTCAACCAAACTTTACACGTGGCTCTATGCAGTCAGACAAGTAATGTTCTCCTGGCAACTGCCAAACCCAGACTCGTCCAACAGATTTCCAGATGGAGAAACAAAATTTGACCCTCCTGAGAACATTTCTCTATTGCTCTGGAGTCCGGTGGCAGTGTGCTTCACACCACTGCATCTTATACTTTGCATTGTACTTATTGATGTATGGCTTAGAAACCATGGAAACCCATTCCATGCTTTCTGCACACTGTTCTTGAGCCAATCTGATGGTTCGGAGGTTTGTAGTAAATAACTGCACATAGTTGGCGACCACTTTGCACTTCGTCTTTTAGTATTTACTGACACAAATCTTTCAGTTTATGTGGCCAACCGCTTCCTGGGTGAGTTGCTGTCATTACCAAACACTTCCATTGTCTTTTGATAGAGCTAACAGTTTACTGTGGAATGTTTAGGATATCACGACTGGATTTGATGCACAGGTGGCATTCTATGACAGTTCCACGATAGAGCGACCCATTCTGCCACAAATGTTTGTAACAACAGTCTGCATGCCTAGTTGCTTGATTTTATACACCTGTGGCCATGGAAGCGATTGGAACACCTGATTCCAATAATTTGGATGACTGAGCAAATACTTTTGGCTCTATAGAGGTGCTCATGCCCTATATGCAGTTAAACTAAATTAAACGGAAATGGAACCATAATTTATAGTTTCTAAACTGCTTTTGTCATTACATTTTTCTGGCAATGCCGAACATTTACGTTTACATTTGGCCTTCATGCTACATCAATTTGCATTAACTAACTGGTGGATGTGCTCAACAATAAAATTAGATCTGAGGAATAACGTTCCACAACTGATTGTAAATGCTGTGTGATGTGATAATTAGCAGGGTTTTAAAGAAGCAGGAAGGAATGACATTATTTTCCTGCTGCCTGTGTTTTTGTTCAGCCTCAGTGGTTGCTCTATCAAAGTGAATCCCATCTCCATGTCGAACTTATGACAGATGACAAACTGTGGCTTTTATCTAAATCAAACAATAAGCCTCTAGGGATGTCAGATGCAAAGATAAAGTTCAACTAGAGTCTGTTTTAAAGACTTCAGTTATATCATGTGTCAACAAGCTTTTTTTTATTAGCGCAGGGTGGCTGTGGTCAGATTTAGATCTAACATGTTTTCCTGATCGGTTTCTTTACCAGAATATGAGAAGAAGTCTTTATTTCCCGATTAAACAGAATACTTTACTTACATTACAACATGGAATAAGACACTGCAAGCAGCCAGTCTGAAAATGAGCTTAAACTCAGTTATCAGGAGACGCAACAGGAAACATTAAGACTATGGGGAAATGAGAATAACAAACAAACAGCTGTGGCTCATTTTCAATTAACCAGAAAAAGAAAAAAAAAATGCAAAAAGGAGGGAAAACAGACCTGCTATTACAGCCAAATCCTTCTGGGCGTTGCTGTCATGCTGCTCCTTATCTTCATTTGCAGCTTGATCTGAAGAAGCATAAATCAGAAACAGATTCACTAATTATTGTTGTAAAGAAACGACACTGAATCTTAACGGAGAGTTTCTTTTTCTGTCTTATTTCCTGCTAAAACAAGTCTAAAATTAATTTAAAGCCAGCACAATATATTTCTGCTAGTAAAGCCTTTTATGAAAGTTTATGAAACATTTTCCTTGACATAAGGTCCATCACAGCATATAAGAATATAAACTCTCCAGACACCTTTAGATATAAAAAGGCTCTCTAGTGTACACACACATGTATACTTAAACGAGCATTACAATCTGTTTACTTTCTCAAATAAGCTCTTATAAAGTACAGACTTTCTAGATAAATGCACATAGAAAAGTATTTCAACACATTGTTCTAAAGCAGGTGGGAGAGGCTAAACCCATTAAATCATTATTATTATAATTATGGTATTATGACCTTGCAACATCGTTATATGAGAAATAAATATATATTATTTCCTTCATGTAGGAAAACAAATAATATCTTATATTATTTGTACAGAGCATCTGGAAAGAATTCACAGAACTTTACGTTTTTCACATTTTTATGTCGCATTATTCTAAATGGTAATGATTTAATCCATTCCCTCCAGGTTCTATACACAATGCTTAATTTTGACCATGTGATAAATTGGTAAAGTCTGTTGAGATTGTTATAAATGTATAAAAAAATGCAAACTTAAAAATATATGACTTTAACGTAAGTTTTCACAGCCTTTGCTTAATGTTTTGCTGATTCAGCTTTGACAGTGTTTCCAGACTTAAGTCTTTTTGAATATGATGCCTCGAGCTTAGCTCATCTATCTTTTAGCAGTCTTGCACATTCTTCTTTGCAGAACACTTCAACCTTAATCTGGCTGGTTTGGAGAAGTCATTGCAGCCATTTTCAGATTTTTCTGGAGCTGTTCAATCAGATCACCATCAGTATACTGTCTGTAATTTTGGCCACTCCAGGACACCTAGAGAGTGGTTGTGATGAACTCCTTTGAGATCTATGGGCTTTGGGTCATTGTCTGAGAAGGACCTCGCTGCAGCAAACAGAAAGGGGCTGAGACTAACATACCCTTTGCATTCCAGAAATGATGGGAGAGCTATTTCCTGTACAAGCTAATTTTTTTCACATGTTGCGTTTTTTTTTGTTTGTTTGTTTGTTTTCTTTTACTTTTATTTAAAAATCTCTATTGGATACTGTTGTTAAAACATAATAATAATAAACTTGCCAATAGTATTTCACACTTTTTAAAATTTTTTATTTGTTTCTATAACATTATATAAAAGACACAACGGGCCACTTAAAAAAAAAAAAAAAAAAAAAAACAATGAATAGACTAAAAAAAAAGCAGTGGAGAAAACTCTTTTTTTCAATCAAGTCATAAAGGAAAGCTCTTTAGAGGTTTAAAACATATATTTAAGCCCTTATAAGGATTGTTAAATCAATTAGCATTCACCTCTTCTACTTAAACTGGAGAGCCTGCACAGTTATGTTGATGTTGACAACATTATGATGGGCAAAACACAAAAATCCCAGGCCAACAATGCTAGCAGCAGCTCCACTAGCTCTTCAGAAGAAAACTACGCAGACATTCTGGCCTTGCCCTATTTTAAATTCTCCATAAAGAATCCCAGACTATGAGGGAATCCCTTGAATTCAGTCAAGCTCAGCTAGTTTCACTTACTGCAGAAAATAAGGCACTTAAGGAGAACGTGAAAAAACTCACAGGTGGAATGTTACAGCTGTCCAAGGAGAACAGGAAAAGGATCTGCAGGACCGTATTATGAGACATAATTTGGTATTCACGGGCATCCCGGAACGGGCTGCAAGAGGAGAAGGTGCCAAATCTACCAGGTAAAAAACATCTCACTCCATCGCGTTCACTTAAAGGTAAGAGACCTGATAACCGACCTAGAGCTATACTGTAATTCCTAAATTTTAGCATTATACTGTAAGCAAAAAGATGCTGCAGAGAAAGCACTTCAGCATTAATGCTCTATTTCCTTAAGAAATTCTTGACCGAAGAAGAGTTCTATTCCTCATCAGAAAAAAAATACATATCGGAAGGTATCCAGGTCGCTGCGGCTGTGGATAAACTTCACATTCAGGGACGGTTCGGGAGAAATCTCTATGGCAGTATTAAAACAAAAAATTAGACCATTTATACCAGTACTGGAATGGGCATGGAGCCGGCACCACAGAGAAAAGGTTTAAAGATTTTTAACCAGCTTTTTCGATTACAGGCAGATTTTGTCTAATTATAAGACACTCATAAATCAGCTGCAACTGCAAACAATCATTAATCACCTGGATTCCCTCATGTGATCTCTGCCTGCAAAACCATTATGCAAAGAAAAGCAAGTATCTCAGTTCACAAAAATATAAATTTCTCAGTATTACTATTATTTACAGACCTAGGGTAGATTTATAACAATAAAGATATTTATAGATAACCAAAACTTTTGTATTTTTAGCATTTATGTCAAAAAATTAGATAACCCTTCATTCTTTGGCTCTTTCTTCACAGCTCTGTTGGAACATTGAAATACTTCATTTATTATCAGGGGCAATTTTAACTTTGGCCTAAATGAAGAAATAGACAGGGGCCGGCATTGCCTCTTTCTCGATCCAGGCCCCCGTAGGGCGAGTCAGGGGCCACCCACTCCCATGCATACATAGCACTGGAGATTGGTGCCAGGTGCTCATGGATAATACTAAATACTAAGCGGCAGCTACAGATATATACCACAGTGAATAATAGTGTGTAGTCACTATAAGCATTGCCTTCCACACAGCTCGACATGTAAGGGATACCAGCTACTCTTGAAGCTCTTTTTGATGTTTACTTTTGTTGTCTGTTGTCTACTTTTTCCTGTAGTTGTGCTCTCTGTTTTCTTTCCCTCTCCTCTCATACAGGTATGGAAGCACACTTCTACGAGTTATCGTATATCTTCTGTGTTGTCTATTTTTGCTGTTTGTTTTATTTTCTCTCTTTCCATTCCTTCTTTCCTCTCTCTGTTTTTATCTCACCCATTAGTTATTATCCCCTCTTTCGCTTTCACCTCCCTTTCCGTCTCCGTGTCTGTCGTATACCATTTTGCTCCCTAAATAGTTTTCAATAAAGTTTCATATACCAAGCGGAACCTTAAGGCAACCGTCATAAAGGTTTGCTTTTCTAAGCAAATCTGTGGGGCTATCATCTAGCTCTGGGAAATCTGTTCCCAAAGCTATATTGGCAAAACAAAAAACACATGCAAAATATATATATATTTATATATTTTCTTCATTCCAATTATCCCATTACAACGGTTTCCACCACAGCAATTATTGGCCCTTTAAACTTTGAACAGCATTCTACCCTCAGTCAAAATGTTTAGCATTTTACATAATGCCTGAGTCGATGCACTGGGCTTCTTTGTAGGTTTTATTAGTAAAGACTGGTATTTCCATAGCACCCTGTGTACTTCTTTTACTATCACTACACAAAAGGGGTTTCCCCTCAGACAATACCATGGAAAGTTTTCATAACCTTTGCAAAAATGCCACCCAAATTCTTCTAGAAACATTAGTCTCACCCCATTGCTTAGACAAACACTTGTTCCCATTTCTGAGAAAAAAAATCCCTCTATTTTTTACTTGAATGAGTTGTGCTCTTGTGAATCTTTCTCTCTAATCTGCACTTAATATTGCCTCTTTCCCCTGATCCCTCTCACGTCCTTTCAATGATAGACAGCCGACAGCACAAATGAGAAATAACAATAGCAAAGATAGAAAATCCTTCCTGCTTAACTCTGTTAACATCTACAACATCTCCTTTAAAAAAAAAAACTATAAGTAACAATAACACTTATTCTATCAAACTGAATTAAACTGAGTTGTGAAAAGGTAACTATCAATAAGTTATTAGAAGGCAGAACACCTGGAGACAGAATGCTTCTGTTGGCTAAAACTTAGAAAGTTTTTTAGCAAGTATGGAATATAAAATTTGTGTTCTTATATCAATGACCTTTGGAGAGCTGTAAAAAGAGCCTGAAGCACTACTGGAAGCTCACTAGTGACAGGTTGGTGACTCATGGTCTAGAGGCTCTCAAATTCCAGACGAGTCATTTTATAGGTCAGGGGAACAAGAGGCTCCTCTGAACACTTTTCATTTGCATACAATGTAAAATTATCATCAAATAAAAGTACAAAAAATGCAAAGAAAAGTATCTTTCAACAACTCTGTCAATTGAAAACAGAAAAAGTAATTTACGTAACAAACCTCTATGGAAGAAAAACAGTCTCATTGGAATCTGCCTTTTTTTTTAACACGGAATTTTAAACACCAAATTTTTTTAACACTGAAATTTAAACACTGAATATTTTTAGACATTGAATTCCTTACACTCAATTTTTATCTTGTAAAAATTCAGCTGCAAAAAATTCGGTGTTAAAAAAATTCAGCTGCAAAAATTCGGCCTATTTTGACCTTTTGGTAAACTCAAGCCAAAGCAATCTAAATTAGCTCATTTCGTCACATGACACAACGGCGCTGTTCTACAGCTGAATGAGGACGGTTTTTTTCTTACAGATAGAATTACAAAACATCAGTTAGCTACTGAATTTTTGCAGCTGAATTTTTGCTGGTGAATTTTTTGCAGCTGAATTTTTTTGCAGCGTAGTGTAAGGAATTCAATGTCTAAAAAAATTCAGTGTTTAAAATTCGTTGTTATAAAAAAGGCAGATTCCAATGTTTTTCTTCCATAAACCTCAGCGCCCAGGAAGTTGCAATTCATCAGTGAGGAGTGGAAAAAATTATTTTCTTTTTTTAATCATTGGTAAAACGTATTATATATCATAGAATTAAAAACATAATTTTTTTCTGGTACAAGCAATTTAGCAATTCTTCTTCAGGATGTAAACATACCAGGCCCATTCTAAGGTTAGCAAGACCCCCCAGCCACTTGGGCCAACTCCTCCGGGGGGAATCCCAAGGCGTTCTAAGGCAGCCGAGAAACATAGTCCTTCCAGCATGTCCTGGGTCTCTCTTTGGGTCTCCTCCTGTTGGGATGTGCCAGGAACACCAAACCAGTGAGGCATCCAGAAGGGATCCTAACCAGATGCCTAAGCCACCTCAACTGGCTCCTCTCGACATGGAGGGAAGCTGTTCTACTCTGAGTCCTCCCCAGATGACTGGGCTCCTCACCCTATCACTAAGGTAGAGCCCAGACACATTATGGAGAAAACTAATTTCAGCCACTTGTAGCGGGGATCTTGTTCTTTCGGTCATGACGCAAAGCTCAAGACCATAGATGAGAGTAGGAACGTAGATCGACCGGTGAATCAAGAGCTTTACCTTTTGGCTCAGCTCTCTCTTCACCACAACGGACCGGTGCAGTGTCTTCCCAGCAGATGCCGCACCAATATACCTGTCGATCTCCTGTTCCGACGTCCCCTCATTCGTGAACAAGACCCAAGATACTTAAACTTCTCAACTAGAGGCAGTACATCCTCCCAAACCTGGGCAAGGCACTCTACGCTTTTCCAGCTTAAGACCATGGTCTCGCATTTGGAGCCACTGATCCTCATCCCGGCTTCTTCACACTCGGATGCAAACCACTCTAGTGAGAGCTGTAGATCACACCCTGATGAAGCCAATAGAATCACGGCATCTGTGAATAACAGAGATGCAACCCGAAAGCCACCATAACGGATCCCCTCAACACCTTGGCTGCACCTAGAAATTCTCTCCATAAAAGTTATGAACAGAATCGGTAACAAAGGGCAACCTTGGCGGAGTCCTTGATGGGTCCTTGGCTGATCCCCTTCAATTCCTTTTCAAACATCATTATTTGTACTAAAATATTCTTTCTGTCATCATTTGTGGACATTAAGATCTAAAGAGAAGCATCATCTCCTGGTTAGACCCTGTAATTCAGTGAAAGTGTGAAGTCAGAGTACAAAATATGCAAGAGGGGCTCAATCCAGTGGCTGAAAGTTGAAGGGGATTTCGCTGGGAGTTGGAGGGAAGTGGGCTGCCATTCGGCTGGCGTTTGACCAGGGCTATTTTGAATGGCTGCTACTATACAGTAACAGCCCTTATTAAAGGGCCAGGTACTCCATACTCCCATCTGATGTTTAATTATTTTATGTGTGTCAGATAGTTCTGGATATATTCTTTACATTTTTGTATATAAAAAGAATCTGTATGCACTGTGAGGTTGTAAATAGACATGTTAAGAAAGAAAATGTAAAACAAGTTCTTTGTTAGTCTCTGAATTGTAGAAATTGAATACTTATGTTTCCTTAAAGACTGCCATGTAATTTCTTCTAAATTAACAAACATTTCAAAATTTAATTAAAAACCGAGGCATCCACCCACTATATTCCTATATTCCTGCCTTTTTTTATTTGCTATGAATTCAGTGTTATTTGCCGAACTGTCACAGTAGCATAGACCTAATATAGAAAACCTTATTGGTTCTTTTCTTTTGCTATCATCGACACACGAGACCTCCAGAAGAAATGAAAGCAAATATGTGCAGCAGTAGAAGACTTAATCTCTTGAAAAGAGGAAACAAAAGCTTATTAACAGGAGAAGAGTTTCACCTTAAAACAAGGACAATCCGTCAGAGCCGTATAGCTTTATTGTGTCGTTAATTAATGACAAGATAAATGTGCAGCAGAGAAAAAAAAAAAGAAAAACAGCTCGTGTGCAGCCTGGAGGGCATCATATTCCACAGCTTTACTGACTTACTGCCATCATTGAAGGTTTGCTTCATATTGAAAAAATCGAATTCTGTTTATTTTTTGCTATTTATGTTGTATGCATGATTGGTTCTGTTTACGATGCTCCACCTCAATCATTTGACTTCTTAATTTGAACTTATTACTCTCGGAAATGGTGTTTATACAGTATTAAATGGTTGGTATTTGTGTGTGTTTTACCTTGCAGAATGTGTGAGGTGGACTCAGCCAAAGCTCCGCAATTTGACTGGACAAGAGGACCTCGAATAGTGATAAGGGAGCTCCCCCGATTGGTCAGTGCTGCCTTGAGCGGAGCGACGTGGTTGAACTGCACTGAGGAGAGACAGCCGACAAAACCTCTGGAAGCCGCTTTAACCACCTCTTCATCAAAGCTCTCCATTCCTGTGGAGACGTGGTTCAGAGAGGAAAAGACAAGCCGCTGAATGATTAATTTCTCAGAATCACATTAATTTCTGATTAAACACTGTCAGGAATGACAAAGGAATGGTGACAGGCAAAGATGAATGGCTTCAATACAAGTAGTGCAGCAAGTTTCTCAGCACTTTTCCTTAGATTGGAGGACTTACTGATGACTTTGCCCAGCGTCAAGGATCTGATTAAGATCAGCTCTGCATCAGATGACAGTGTGTACTTTCTGTGGATGTCCTGGTCGATCTGGTTGAGTGGAGAGAAATCAAATAACAAGGCAATTACACGAAATGTAAACCGAGCTAACGGCTGCAACATCAGCAGCTCACTATAATATTTTATAGATTGATATTTGTGTTCTCTGCAGCTTCACATAAAACCTTCTCTGCCCACGGCTGAGTGCCGAAGTGATTTTGACCTCTCTTCTGTGCTCTGCCATGCTGACTCAGATGCAGTACTTAACACAATGATGTGGAATGAAACACTGCAGGATTTTTTTTTTGTCCACTGCTGTCAACACATCAGGGTTTTTCTACAAAGAAATCAGTTTTTTTTAAAACATTTTCTCTGCAGCTGAAAGGGCACCGTATTTGGAGGACTGCATGCTAAGTCCCTTCCAATTTCTAATGTTTCTAATATTAGAGTTGCACAAAAATTAAATATTGTAAACATTATCAAATAGCTTTAAATATTCATATTTAAGGATAACACTCAGAATTGTCTGGGTACCCAGAAGAAGCAAAGATTTACGTTCAGAATTGGAGCATTACAGCGTCCACTATAACGCTCCAATGATATATTCATTAAATATTGTAACAGGATTTGCTTTGGGATTATCTGAAATCCATTGGACACTGACATAGCTACAAAAAGGAAAGAGAGCAGGAAGAAAAAGAGACAGTGATGGGGTTAAAAGGTTAAAAGAGAGAGAATGAAAAGAAATAGTGGACAGGGCAAAGAAAATACAAAATAAAATCAAAGAAGTTTATTCCTACACCTGCAAAAAGAGAAAAAAGCGAGAAAACAGCAACAGTAAACGGACACCATGGTTGTGCTGCTCCAGTGAGAAGCACAGGGACCCTAGGCCTGGAGTGAGCAAACACACCTCCAAAAAACCATCAACACACTGGTGGGCAGAACCACCAACCAGCAATAGGGAATGTGGTGGTGAAAAGGTTCCACATTTGGTGAGGAGCCTGAGATTATCCAGGAAAGGGGGCAGCCCAAAACCCAACCTGACAGATAAACAGGCAAACTATCACAATCACATGTTTCTAACCTTTGTTTGACAAAGCACCATAATTAATAAAAAGATATACAAGAAAGGATGTCATATACACCCTAAGATTTCTAATACATACTTCTAGGTCCTGGAGGGGCAACCAGCACCTAGACTCAGAAGATGGTTCCCTTTGTTCAAGGATAAGCAGCATCTTAGCCACAAGCTAAAGACTGAAGATTTTTCCATTGTTCTAATATCATCCAGCCTTGATGTCTGCCTCAATCGATACCTGACTATCTCACTGTCAGTCCAGATGACGTGAAGATATGGGCTGCGTCTTGAAGCAACTGGTCTCCTATACCAGTCTAGCAGAGAACAAGATTGGCACCTTTTCTCTTTATCATCTACATAAACCGCCTGTCCTGGCCCCCACCTTTATAAGTTCTTGGATTAATATATGATAGCAGACCTTATTCTAGGTGAAAATAATTCTTGAACAAAAACTGTGCATAGAACTTGGTGCAAAGAAAGCTGAAGAGCTAGATGGATTCCCACAGGAACAGCCAGGGAACATTGGACTCCCACAGATACCTGGGTGTTCATCATAAAAAACTGAAATGGAGGAAAAACACTGATGTTCTTTACAGTGAGGGTCAGATCAGCCTTTCCCTGCTGAGGTGACTGAGATCATGGTGTGCTCCTCAAGTCCTTTTTTGACTCTGTGGTGGCATCAGCCATCTTATAGGGTTTATTTTGTAGATGCAAAAGTGTATATATAGGAAGGCCATCAGGAAGCCCAGCTATGTTGTGGGAGACAAACACACTGTTGAAAATAACATCACATTTGGAAAATGTCTCCCTCTCCATGCATGGTCCATCAGCTGCTGAGCTAGCTGCTAAGATGCCCTTTCTCCCACCGCTCTCCCAAAGGCTTTATTACCTTTATCATTAAATCCATGCTCTTTATTGCACAGTTTTCCAGTTCTAAGGAATGGTTTGTTTCTTGTTTATATTTATTCATGCTCATTTTGAGCAGTTTCACCCTGCTTAACTGCACATTTGATTTATCTGAGCATGCCAGTTTTTAATATCCGTACAGCATTGCTTCCTCTGTTGTAAACCTTTTTCTTGTTTGCTGCTAATATACTTTAAGTTATCTGATATGAGACAATAAAAAAACTTATATTCTAAAGCTAAACTTAGATGTCGGTGTCTTGGTATATATATAGTTTTGCTGCACTTTTGATTTCAGATGACAGAATAGCTCCATGACATGCTAAAGCATAAAATTGTGTATACATCTCTAACTGTTTCATCAAGGCTGTGCAAAAAGGCATATATTTTGATTTACCCTCGCCTATGGTCATAAAGTACATGAAAAGCAAGCTTTCTTCACAGTGATAGGAGGGAGGAGGAGCTAAGGAGGTGTTGGGTCATTCAGGAGGTATTTAGAGTAGAGCCGCTTCTCCTTCACATTGAAAGGAGGCAGCTGAGGTGGCTGGGACACCTTTTTCGGATGCTCCCTCAGGTGTTCCAGGCATTCCCCACCAGGAAGAGGCCCAAGGGACGACCCAGGACAAGCTGGAGGGTATATGTCTCTCAGGCCTGGGTGCGCCTCTGGCTTCCCCCAGCAGAGGAGGAGTCTGTGGAAAAGGAAGTCTGGGAGTCTCCACTGACACTCATGACCCGGTCCCGGAAGAAGCAGGAGAGCAAAATACCAACTATTCTTTAAACTCCCTACAACCCTACAAAAAAACAACAACATTTAGAGATACATAAGTAATTTAAAGTTCTAGAGACGTCTAAGATACATTTGGTATTCTTACAACATCTGGGAATAAGGCCACAAAAACCACTTAGTAAAGGTCACAGGAAAATGTGGTTACAAAGCAACATGACACCTGCAAGAAACCTTTAGCTGACCTTCAGTGCCTTATCTTGTCATCCAGCTGCAGAGTACTTGTCTTGGTGTTGGGTGGTAAAACAATCCTGATAATTGCAATAAAGAAAATTCCTTCAACAGCAATGATAAACTGATGAATGAATAATTTAGGATAAATGTATCTGCAGTGTCTGGGTTAGCCATGACTGGAGGAATCTGTTGATCAGATGTAGCAGCAGTGTCATATAGCTGATCCTGTGGCTCCATCACCCAGATTTAATTTCATTTAATATTAAAAGGCATTGTCTTTTAGTCTATGTTATTAGATGTATTTACACTCTGAACCACACTATATGTACTAAGCTGCTTTCTTTTTGGTACGATGATCTTTTAATATGATTGTATTACACCTAAATGATAATAGATGTTAATTAATTTACCAATCCTCTTTATTTGTATTTTTGGTAGTAATCTGCATGACTTACCAGCAAATGTGATTTTTTAATTTATATAATACACATGGTGTATTGTATAACTGGTGAACTTAACATTATTTAGACCTTTGTAATGGTCCTGTTTTTATTCAGGCCAAGCTGTTGGGTCTAAAGTGATGTAAGCTAGAGAAAGAAACTAACAAGAAATTCTCCCTCAAGAGCTTCCAGTGGGGAACTCTGACTTCTTACCCTGTCAAGGCTGGTAGGAGGTTTTTGCTGGTACTCCTAGATATTCCTTGCACTTTTGTCTATGGCACTACTCTAATTCGTTTACCTACCTTTAACTTTTACTTCTGTTATATGGAGCATTTTATTGTGGGGCTTAGTTAAATGCGGCAAAGTGCTATGAAACTGTGCAAGTGACGCTTTGAACTTTTCTGGACTGACAGTCTTTACAATTCACATGACTGTGTTTACAATTTACATACGTATCTTAGTTTAACCCCTGCTTAATTATTATAATTTTTTTTTTGTAGTGCTGGCACCATTAAGTAGTCCAGTCTAGGATTATTCACACGACTTAATGGCAACAAGGATAGAGAATTCACTTTTTGTGGCGTTGTTTATAAACATAAACACTTTATGAACTCCTTAGATTTTTCACCTAAATAGTGCCTTTTTAGTGGTACTGCATGGCGAAGCAACGTCAACTTCTCTGGTGTGCTTTGAAGGCGAGAAAGTGTAATGATAGAAAAGTAGTGCATTATCGATAATGTTTTTAACATGAAAAATGAAAAACATGCTGGTAATAAGCAGGTTAGGTTGTTGTGGGTTATAGTTTTAAATTAAGACAAGTTTTTAGCATTCCCTTGTGAGTAATGAGGGTCTCCGTTCGCAAAGCACTTAATACTCGATTACAAAACAGAGCTGTAACACAGTTGGCGTCCACTTTATTACCACCCTATTATAACAAAGTGGCAAATAGTGTGACAGCATGTCAGAGTCTGTTTTACATGGTAGTTTTACATCTCTGCACATTGGAAATTAAACTGTCATCTTGTTTTATTCAGTGACCTAATTGCTTTCTGTTTTGTTATATCCTATACAATAGTTAAGTAATTAGTAAGAAACCATTTTTTGTTGTTGTTTATTTAGTCAATTATGTGACAGACTACTGACCTGGTGTACCACGCTTTTCGCTAATGAAGATAGGCACCAAAAGATGGATGAAAAAATTAATAGCCACTATTCAATGTAAATGGCCAAATATATTTGTAAAATATATTGATGTACTTTTTTAGATCAGCACTTTGTAGAAAAAATATTTGTAAAAGTGTAAATCCCTTTATCGTCCCACAATGGGGAAATTCACTCTCTGCATTTAATCCATCCCCTTGGGGAGCATTGGGCTGCAATTGTGTGGCGCCCGGGGAGCATTGTGGTGTTAAGGGTCTTGCTCAGGAACCCAGAGTTCAGGCTGTTTGGATCGAGAAACCTTTTCAGAGCATAAGCGCACTTCTCTAATCGTTAGGCCAAAAATCCTTAACACTTTTTGTAGAAAAATATTTTGCCCATTTTTTTTTCTTCTTAATTTTCAAAACCTTCTTTTCTTTCTTGACAGGGGCATGGAAGTTCGTCACTTGGTAATACTCTCTACAAGCTATGCTTTAATTTATTTACAATACCATTTAATAAAATACAGAAGCTTAAATTAGCACTTTTAAAAATAAGTCCAAATACAGAGCCATATCTTTTGTCACCTTTGCTGCAACCTGCTATAAAACTTAGACTTACCCTATATTGCAGCGTATTTGGGTCCGTAGACTGTGTACTGTGTACTGTTGAATCTAAAAGACCCACACCCACTCTGTAGCTTTTGCAAAACTTATTTGACATTCAACACCAATGAATTATCATCCATGCAAAGGACTCCATCTTTTTTATAATCCTGTTCAAGGTTATGGGATTCAGTGTTGCAAACAAATAAAGAAAGGTGGTATAAGGAAAATACAGCTGATACTTTAAATTCTTTATAAAATCATTTTAAAAATGTGGTTAATTTCATGTTAAATGTGATAATTTCTTCTTAGTTTGATCAAGCTTTTACAGGCTTCTGGATAGTCTTTGAAAGTTTTCGTTTAGGGCACAAAGAATAGTGAAAGAATTAGAAGTGAGATCTCTACTGGGAATACAAATATAATCTGCCAGAAACGTGCAGCCATTTAGCCAACGCACCCATTGAACGACACCAGCTGGGAAGATTAAGACAACCAGTGCATTCTGAGTGTAGAGCCAATCTAGGACCATTCATCGAGTGGGCAGCCTGCGGTGTAGGAGTAAAATCAAACATGGAACTTTCTTCAGTAGCCTTGAGTGAAAGTTTTACTTTCTAAAACAACAATATAAAAAATCCCTGAAAAGATATAAATGCCTAAAGCCCAGTTTGTGTGTTTAACCGTGAAGTTAGTTTAATAATGTACATTTGTACCAATGTCCTACGTTGAAACAGAATTAAGTATTTTTTTTCTCATTCTCTATGGTGTGAGTTTTGTTTCATGTGAGTTTTCTTTTATAATACTCCATCATATAAAAAGTATTTTATTCCTTAACATTTTCATAGTCTTTGTTTTAGTCTTATTTCAACAATATCTGGGGAATTGCTTAAACTCTGTGATACAGCACAAACAAACAAGCAAACAAAAAGAAACAAGTACTTCAACAAAATCTGAGACATCATCACTGACATTATGAAGATTATTGAAAGGATTCCCAAAAGCCAAACATTATAAAACCTCTTAATAACTTACTTATGTTTACATTATAAACTAAACAGAATGAACTAAATGAGAAATAAGGTAAATTACATATTTTAGTCTGGGAAGGGTTACAAAGTGAGAAACAATTATGGATTTTGAGCGAACTATTCCTTATTCCTGAATCCATCCACATGGATGACACCTGTTTAACAGTTTGTGTGGCCCTCTATTAAATTATTGGTATCACTGGTCAAACAGGCAGCCTGTATGGATATAAAATACAGATGAGGCAAACATGGTGTTTCAGTTATTTTTTTAAAACATTTATTTAAATAAAACATTTTAGAAGTGAATTTGACATCCTTTTTCATATTTCAGCTTAGATTTAACAATAAAAATCAAACGCATCGAAACTAATCGTTATAAACTGAAAAGTTGATAAACTCTTAAATTGAAATAAAGACTATTTTAGTGCAACTCATCAGATATGTATACATATATAATATGATTGGAATTCATCATTCAAATTATTTAATAAAGCAATATGTAGCATACAAATATTTAACATAAAACTGCATTTACAACACATCAAAAGTGATATATTCTCCTAACACAGTACTTTTAAGCACTGATGTTATTAACATAATTTACGACGTCCAACAATAGCAATGGCCCACGTCCAGCTAGCATAGCTGCTGTCGTCATCCAAAGTTGTACCGAAATCTTTGGCCAAGGCTGAAGAGGCACCTTCCCGTTCACTGACAGCATCTTGTCCGACGGGGATGCGGGCAGAGTGGGCATCGATGTAAGGCTTAATTGTAACGGGGGTAACATCGCTAACATTAGCTGAACTGTTGGCTAATGTTAATTCTATAGGATGTTTGAATTAGGAAATTAAAGTGTTGTTTGACTTGCTCAGTTCATATTACTCTATGCTTATCCTAAAGGCAACCATTTAAAGTAAACTTTTAACTGTTATTAAATATGTAACCAATATCAACCTCAGCATGAACTGCCCCTCTCTGCCTCCGATTGGTTCACTGGTTGTCATGCCTACAGTTAACCAATGTAATCAGTAAAGCCAGTGAGCAGGGCTCCTGCTGGTCCTTAAAAAGTCTCTTAAAAAGGCATTGAAATCTTCAAAATAATAATAAGGCCTTAATTTGTATTAAAATGTCTTAAATTAGTTTTCGTCTGTCTTATTTTTTAAAACATCATAAATAGGATTATTTTTATTACAATTTATTTTTGTAATCTAAATAAAACATTGAAATTGAAAACTTTTTTTATAAAAAAAAAAAAATAACGGCTTGCCATTATTGGTTCCGTCCCGATAGCGGAACCAATAATAGCGTTGTTGGGGCCGTGACATTTGGGAGATGCGCCATGAACTTTTTCTCTGGAAAATGTGGGCAAGTGTAAACGTAAGCAAATTTGGCTCCAGCCAAGAGTTTTCTCCATGGCTAAAACCAGGGAACATACATGAGGCACAGTGAATTTTGTGGAAGAAGTCGTTAAAGCTCGGAACGATGGGAATTAAGGCAGTGGAGTCGAACATGCGAAGCACGAAACACAAAGCGTCAAAATCGTGTTACCGAGAAACAGCCGGTATTTCTCAGTTTTGTTCCACCCTTGTCTCTGCAACGCCTCCACTTATCTCCAAATCAAACATACAAAGAAAACGATACAAAGAAAAATAGCTGCAAAAAAGACTTAGCACTGGTTATGTTGTGGCTTTAAAACTGATTTGTTTTGTTCCCTGCTAAAACAAAGTTTGTGAATTTAGTTAAATAATTGTTAAAATATATCTGTCATTTGTGTGTTTTTAGCTTTCTTCCTGTATGGGAAGCTTTTCAAAATTTGAAACATTAGTGCAGTGTTTTAGGTTAAAATAAACCTTTGGGTTAAGTTGTTGCAAGCAGATTTTTCTTGTGTTTCTTGTGAATTTGGTCTCAAATTTTTATTTCAAGTGTCATTAAAAAGTCTTAAAAGTCTTCAATTTAACATGCCTTATGCCGTACGAACCCTGATGAGTAATACCAAATCAGTGATAGCTTCGCCGTCCTAAGAAAGAATGGGAAAATTTGGCTCGGAGATTCTGCTTAATAGTGCTGGGATTTAGAAGTCGGCATATGCAATGCCGATTGAAAAATAATAACCGGGTGTTGCAGAAAAAAATCAGTTGTTGTGGAGAATTGTGTGGGAATGGCAAGTGGGAAAGAACAGGAGTTGGAAGACGTGCCAGCAGCACTTTATAGGTCTGCTGTATGGGACCACTTTGCACTTAGAGTGACCTACGATGACGGCGGAAAGAAAGTTGTGGATAAAAGTGCAACAGTGTGCAAGCATTGTGCAACACGTGTTATACTATACAAAACATAATAGATTTTCCTAATAATAAACATATACCAAACCGAACTGAAAACCGTGACCAAGAAACCGTGAACTGAACCGTGGATTTTGTAATGTAAAAGAACCCCTGACAGATATTATCGAGAGATAAGTTGTAGACACCAATGTAACCAGACCACTACTCTGCATACCCAGAACCAGAAACAATTCTTGAGAACAGACTCTCTTTTGTTTAGATTTGCTTATGCATTTTCTATTTAAACTGTTTACTTAAACATTATTGAAGTTTGTAGACCAACTTTTCTTCAACAGCATTATGTTACTCCTATATTTTCTTATGTTCTGTGTATGTAAGAACTAAGATTTATCTTGTAACCAAACATGCTATATAAAAGGACCATTTCCTTCTTACTGGGAGTTTTCTCATTTAAAACGTGTTTTTTATGTACTTTGGTTATCTTTGTCTGGTTTCTTTAATGATCCTAAATATGTACACATGAGAAAACAGCAATAGCAGAAGAAATCGTTATGGAGGACAAATACTATTTGCTGAACTGGATATTCTAAGTTTATATATTTGCCTTTAACTCACCTGTACATAGAGGTTTCTACCAACTCTGTGGATTCTGATCCGATGAAGACGTCCGTCTGCCAGGTTCTTGGGGACTGGGTTGAAGATATCTGGACTTCTGTCTGTCTGAAGATGGTACCAAATCTGAAGGCTTCCTACACAGAAAGAACGGGAAACATGTTGAATCATGTAACACATCTTTGCAAAACTGATTAGCACCCTGGGATAACTGATTTGTCACCATGCTCAGTGTGTTAATTGCAGTGTTTTCTTTTGAACTTCAACAAATTAGAACCTCAAACACTTGCTTCACATTTGTCACAAAAGACTGAGAAGAAAGGAACGAGTGTCTGCTGTTGGTTAAGGAATACTTAAAAGTATTAAAGTAAAAAAGAAAGTTCTTCCAAGTACGAAAAAAAAACATGTTTCAGGTTTTATTTTTAATATCGTTAAACTTTCTGAATGAAAACTGAGCAGGCTGAAGGAGAGTCTTGTTATTTAATTTTTTTAGGTGGCATCACAATCTTTCTGTAATACTGTTTTTACAAAAAACAGGCTATGAATAATCTTAGGGAAAGCACAGAGAGTTACTTACAAGGGGGTTTGTGGAAAGTATTGTGAAAATAAAAAATCTTAATCTAAAATTAAGATCAAAGTATTAAACTTTCCTTTTTGATAAAGTTTTAAGAGTGGCTCGGGTTATCCTGAGCTATATGTATTTTTTAATTCATATCTGCATTAGGCTGCTGGATGACATAGGGACCATTTTTCATCATTCATCTTCACTGTATTTCTATTCTGCATTTCTGCAATATTTGTTAGTTAAATGTATAACTTTATGGTCTCTGCTTTTTCTTGTAATAGTTGCATCATTTAAACTGGTCCTGTTTAGCTGAGACACCATTTTGGAGGGAGACAGCAAGCAGGAGGGTTGCTCCCATCTACTTCAGTCTTGGATAATAGAGCTGGGTCTTTTTTCAGTGTTTAGTTCTGTATCTGTTCTAGACATACCTATAGAATCAGCTTTTGCAAGGACTACCTGTATATGCTCTCTATCATACCTTTGATATAAACACTAGCTTATACCCCAACAGCTTGACTGTTTTGTTCCTAGACAGAGCCAACCATACAGTAAGTTTACCATTATCTTTTTTAATACATAAACTATTTATAGATCAGTGCCTGTATGTTCCTTTCACATGTCTGCTTATGTATCCTTCAACTCCTAGTCGGACTCATCAGGGGGCCGCTCATACTGAGCCTGATTCTGCTGCAGGTTTCTTCCTGTTAAAAGGGAGTTTTTACTCTCCACTGATGCTGCAATATTACAATGCAAGTGGATATCTACTGTCTCTGCATTTTCAGTAGCATATCCTGCAAAGTCAGTGACTAAATGCAATACGGTTTTTCTTTTCCGTAGATAGAAAACTGTGAAACAATCCGACTGTGTGATCTGATTAAATTGTCTCTGTAAAGTGCGTTGAGATGACATGTGTTTTGAATGCTATATCATTAAACGGAATAGATCTTTATATTTTTTACTGTATTTCTTTCACTGTATTTTTTAACCTTTGTAAGCATCTAGATTTGTCTTTTGTATGAAAGATGATTCACGCATTAAAAATGTTTTAGCACACTTGCTGTCAGACTCCATGCTCACACCAAGCAAAGCAGTGACACATCGTATAACAGCTCTACAGACACAAACATTTCACAACAAACTTGTTCCCCAAACCTTTTTAACTCATATGAAACTCCACAAATATTTTCCTTATAGCTCCTCACTCTAGAACTGGACAAGTCGATATGTGCTGGGTGTTTCTGGTTTTAACACACACACACATCCACACTCAGACAGCTGCTGCCAGATCAAAGAGTCAGAAAGCTATGCATTGTCAAGTGGAGCTGGGTCAATATTACAATTCCCAGAGTGTAAGTGAAGGGCTTTGTGTTGTGATTCATTTCAGATACTGAGAGTGCTCCACCAGATGAAGGTCACCGTGGATAAAGTGTCTTCTTGCCCTTCACTGTTTACAGAGGCCTGAGGGACACGGGTGTTCTGCTTTAACACACAAGAGTGGATTAAGAGGGTGGCTAAAAACTGCACAAAGGTGCTACACATGTCACTCAATATCATGCTGTCAAGTGTGGGTACAGCTTAAACAGTGGCAGCCTAATGCTTCCGGGGTTGTCATGTGTCAGAGACCGAAAATTGGTGGGACTGTACGCTGACAGCAAGTTAGTGACATCACAAATGCAACAACCTACCTCTGAAATGTGATGCAGAGTCTTATAGTTTAGTTGAAAAACAGTGTGCGTTATTACTCCTTTTGTTGTTTTGCCAAAGGATTTGAAGGCCGTGAGAAATCCAATGAAGGAAGGGAGACAAAGGAGGAGTGCAAACATGGAGGTCAAATCTTTTCATTTCCCTATAAACACAAATATGCGGGGGTGGTTTCAGCCTTGTACTAAGGCAGCATATGTACGATCAGCTGCCTGTTCATAGTCACCATAGCTTTTCTGTCTCTCATCTCTTATCAGGCTTTATTTTCAATTGCGTCGGCTTTCTGTGTTGCTTTTTCACATGATGGACAGTTTGGTGTGTAAAAGAAACAGAAATATGTCTACTTAAATAAGTCATTCTCCAATCATATCTTTTTTAACAACAGATTTTTCTGTCATATTTATTTATGTATGTCTTTATTAATATTTTACATAAGAAAATTCATAACAAAAATGTTAATGCATAATCATGATCTTCAGACGAATCAATATCTAGCATTCTCATCATGTCCTGCTGGGTCATAATCACAATATCAGATGAGTTCAAAAATACAAAAGAATAAACAGGAGCTGAATAGAAAACAAAGTAGGTACATTACTAAAAATTGCATTTAAACACAATCTTGCAGCTCTTCAGCTGCCTTCAGTGTTAAAGAGGATAGACCTAAAAATAATCCAGCATGTCATTTTCTGTGACTTTTTTACTTTTATATGACACCTTTAAGGCAAATTCAAAAATGCTTTACTAAGAAGTTTGCTGTGTTGTCGTCTAAACACATTATTGCACAGTTCACAAAACAATAGAAATATCCTGCTTCATATATTATTACCAGATGAGTATTAAAGTTACAGCCTCTAGTAGCTCTGTCTTTTTATCAAACATCTTATGACACTCCTTGGATTGTCTCATGTTTATTATTTAAATGTTTGTATCTCACATAGATTAGAACGACTAGTCAGTGTCCTTGGATCAGTTCTGTTTGTTGATCATCCATAGTGTTAACAGGAGTTCAGGAGGATTACAGCTGGATCCTTCTGCACCGAGCAAATTCTATTTTCCCCCACTATCTCCATCCGCCTCCAAGTGAACTCTTTGAGTGTTAAGTGGACCTATTCACAGCCAAAGAAGCTATCTCCAGAGTAATTATGCAAGATCATTTGGTAACCATGACAACACATTTGTCTCAGTCAGAGAGTGAAGGTATTTTTCGTGATAAGCAGTGAATTAAATGAAAAGGCATGTGGTGCTGTTTGTGTGCTTCTCTGCAGAACCCCGAACAGCTTCATAATGTGTGAGGACTCCGGAGAAAAGAGTGAAAAGCTGTATTTTAGTTCTGTCCTACATCACAAATTTAAGGTATGTCATTGCGAGACCTGAAGGTTACACCATCAAGCTGTCCCACATCCATGTTTGGCTGCCTTTCATAAATTGTTGTTTGCAGGTTGTGTAGGGCGAGCATGATGGCTGACTGGACTCTGGTCCAACTCTCTCAGCGGGTCTAAACTCTTTGTCATCTCGATCAAAAACACACCTGCATGGTTTAATGCCATCAAACACAAAAGCTCTGCAGTTATTGTGTTCAAATAAGGTCTCAAATCAGACTATCATGTGTGGTTGTGTTGTAATCAGTAAGAGGCACAGAGGCACAATACAGTATATAAAGGTGTGCACATAGAAAGACACGTGTAAAATTCATACAGTCAAAAAAAGCTTATATACTGTACAAGGTGCACACAGAGTTTATGGGTTTAAAAAGAGAATAAAAGACATACAAACATTTAGCATGTTAGCCTCCATTAATATGCAGAACATATGCTGATCATCAGAATGTGCAAAACTACTGGGAGGAAAATATGCATATGTTCTGTATTTTCTTTCCCCCAGTAATATGAATTATCAAACCTAAAACAGAATGCAGATGTAGTTTTTTCATTGATATCTAGCAGGTTTGGACATCTGAGTAGTGATAAATTAAAACTGTTGAGATACAGTACACATTAATATCCAACAAAGTGAATTTTAGGGAAAAACATAGTAACATTGCATGGGTCTTAGCTTGATTGATCATTCCAACCACAAGTGCTATAGAAATCCAAGCCACTAGGGAGGGGCTAGATGAAGTGAAGGCAAGGCTACTAACCGCAGTACAAGAGCCAAGGTTTGTAGAGCTGGGAAAGCAGCTCAGCACCCTCATATCAGGGGCTTCTGGACGTGGCTAAGAACTACAGCAGGCTCCTAAACCGCCTGTCCCACCTTGATAATTTAGACAGCATATGCCTGACATACGAACTTATGCGTAACTTATCAAGAACTTATCTCCAACGTATATCACTGTATTTGACTTGTTCATGACGTCCACTGAATGTGTTTTTAACTTACAGCTACTGTTTAATGCCTTATTGGCAGCATTTTGTTATAAAAAGGGGTTCACGGGAGGAAACAGTCAGTTCTCCTTCACATTTCTTCCGCATCATAGTGTGAGCGTAAAGCTAAGTGTGAGGGATCCTCCCTGTGTTCATGCCCACGGCCACGACCGACAAACTTCCTAGCAGACACGATGCAGAACCTGCTGCGACTGCAAACCTTCTTTCTTTCTTTTTATTTTCATTTATTCTTTTTTGTCGGCAGGCCATAAACAGCAGCTAAGTTAAAAGCGCCTTAGCCAACCTTATCCCTGTCTGTAACCTACTAACACGGTAAGGAAAGCATCAGATGAGCTACCTGAGAAACTAACGTTACGTTTCCCCACTTTAAAACCAAACAAACATGGTTACTCATCCTGCTGATCAGCTCTCTTCACTGCCATTGAAGGCTCCAACGTGTTTTCTTTTCAGGTGCTGCGTCATAACAGTGGTGCTTCCGCGCCATGGT